AATAATTTTTTAGTGGGGACTCCTCTGGTTGTTTCAGTGCTGAAGCTGAGCAGTAAGGGGAGTTGTGGTGACATAAAATGCAGCATTTTACTGAGGCCAGATAGCTTCAGAGGCCAAATTCAAGATGTTGTCTCTGCAGAAGGACCTTTAGGGTCGACCCCTGCAGCATTAGCAGATCTTAGACATGTACTTGCAAGAGAGAACTTGACTCAATGCTGACACTGAACAGGAGACCTGGGAACCAGCAAAACCTTCTCTAACTTCTCCAGAAGTACTATTTCTAACTGGAGGTGGGCACCTGTGAATATGTTTGGAAGAGAGAGGAACCCCCTGGAGAATGCAAGAGCTCCTGGGGGACTTCCCTGAGACTGGTGCAGGCTGCATTTGGTGTTTGAGAGCATCAAGTCTGTGCTGTACTCCCAGAGATGCCCCTCGAGTCGCTGCTCCCTCAGCTGAGCAGCTGTCAGAGCATCATGCTCCTGTAGCAGTGAGAAAGAACAGGCTTCAGGCAATGATCTGAGGGGTTCAGGAGGGTCACCACTTGCTGTAGGTCTTCTTGGCTCTTAATAGAATAGGAGAGGCAGTTATCCTGAAATGCACAGCTCTCTGGTGAGAGCTCAGTACCCGTGGTGTTTGATTCCACCAGCCTGCAGTCGCTGTGGTTATATCATGGCCCTCTCACAAACTGCTTATGGATTTTAAGGTTTGGGAGTTGGTTTTGTTGTTGTTGTTGGAATTTATTCCCAAGATATGAGCCTGTGGTTCTGATTGGTACCCACAGGACAAAGTAGGTGTCTGGTGGGAGCTTCTCTGGGAAATGGTGTCTGAGTGCTGCTGTGATGTATGGTGGCTTTGCTTTAGAGGTTGAAAAGGGGACACAGACTGTGTGGATGCTGAGCTCTTAATTGCTGTTTTGGCAGCACTGGGACAGAGGTTGTGCTCGCCCAGTTTATACTGTGGTACAGCTCAGTCTGCAGATTCTTCCAGAGAGAGGTCATCTTTTTTCCCATCCATTTCCCTTTTTATAGGCAATCACCTTTTCCTGTCCCACCTAAAGAGATTCTTCTGTTTCTTACCTCCACGGTGCAAGGACGTGCCCTGTCCCTGCACACCAGCCCCAGGGCACAGCCTGCAGGCAGCCAGCCCTGCTCTGCCCCTGGTGCCAGCCCCACTCTGCCCCTGGTGCCAGCCCTGCTCTGCCCCTGGTGCCAGCCCTGCTCTGCCCCTGGTGCCAGCCCTGCTCTGCCCCTGGTGCCAGCCCTGCTCTGCCCCTGGTGCCAGCCCTGCTCTGCCCCTGGTGCCAGCCCTGCTCTGCCCCTGGTGCCAGCCCTGCTCTGCCCCTGGTGCCAGCCCTGCTCTGCCCCTGGTGCCAGCCCTGCTCTGCCCCTGGTGCCAGCCCTGCTCTGCCCCTGGTGCCAGCCCTGCTCTGCCCCTGGTGCCAGCCCTGCTCTGCCCCTGGTGCCAGCCCTGCTCTGCCCCTGGTGCCAGCCCTGCTCTGCCCCTGGTGCCAGCCCTGCTCTGCCCCTGGTGCCAGCCCTGCTCTGCCCCTGGTGCCAGCCCTCCCTGCACCTCACCTGTGGCCAGCCCTACTCTGCTCCTGGTGCCAGCCCCTCTCTGCCCCTGGTGCCAGCCCTGCTCTGCTCCTGGTGCCAGCCCCACTCTGTCCCTGGTGCCAGCCCCGCTCTGTCCCTGGTGCCAGCCCCTCTCTCCCCTGGTGCCAGCCCCGCTCTGAGCGTGCCTCTGCCCCGGCGCAGGTTCCGGAGCGTGTCCAGGCAGTACCTGCGGCGGGCACACGGCGTGCTGCTCATGTACGACATCACGGCCCGGGGCTCCTTCACCGCCCTGCGGGGCTGGATGAGCAGCGTCCAGGTGAGAGGGGACACGGCTCCCTGGGTGCTGCCCC